AAGGAGACCTTCTTTTAGTAATTTGATGGAGCAATGAAGACAACTAAAACTAGCTCAGAGAGTAGACAATGCCAGAGGTAAACTCTAAGAGTTTGCAGCAGATTCTCGAAGTCGTAAAGAAGCTTGCAACCCAGAACTTCCTGCCTTTCTTGGGTGTAAGATCCAGGAGTGAAGACCAGGGGGAAAAGAAGTGAAGGTTACACATGGGAGACATAATCAGCTGGTTTCAGATGCCTCTGTGAATCTGGCAAGAAGCCCAATCGGAAGTGTGCAATGCAGAGATCTGGAGCCCAGCACTATACTTAGATGGATCAGTATACATTTGAGAGGTGTGTATACACAGGTAGGATCCAGAGCTCACAAAATTATGTTTGACTTTTCTATAGTCTGGTAGGTAATAAATGTCATTCAAAGTAAAACTTGAACATCTGATCAGTTAACTAGATACCACACATTGCTGCTCTACCCACTCCCAACATTGGGAAATTTGTGCTTCTGATACTAATGGACAAACTCTACCACATCGTTAATGGGATACTAATCCATAAGCAGAGAGATATTTGCACATATCTGCAAGTTAATAATGGAGACCTGTTGAGCTGGTCTTAGTTATTCGGTTTTAGTGGGTTGATTGGTAGGCTGCATTGTCTGTGGGCATGCTCATGAGTCCATCAGGAACTGAGTCCTCGCGTATGTCCAAGTGTCTTTTCACCAGGTACTGACTCAACATTTTACCTGAATGCCCTCATCTGCTCTCTAATCGCAGTTCTGTGATGCCTGTATTGTGTGTGGCCCCTCTTTGTAGATGATGTTCCTGCAGTACTAAGATTGACAGCACTCTATCCAAGGTGACAGTAGCAAAGAATCAAACCAAAATCTCAGACAGCAAAGTTGTTTCCTCTGTTGCCTTTTCCAAGGACTCCATTTCACTTCTATCCACCTGTATGGATATTTCCTACTTACACAGGATTTAAGTCATCCATGGAAAGGAAGCTACAGCTGTCTTTTGTTGTGTATCTACCTGTGGACAGAGTCCAGACCAGGGGATGTGAGTCCATGTATTGACTGGAAATTTGCATGCCTATTTGATTCCTCTTTCACTATTTATAGATTTCAATCCAGATTTAGAAAAGTTGGCTTCTAAGTGCTTTCCCTTATACTTTGAATACTTCATGAAACTCTGATGGAGGGATACTGGCTTTTCTACATACACATGGGCTCTGCAGGCCTACAGAGCTTGCTGTGTGATTTTTGTACATTATGTTGTCACATAATGTGACACCTTGTTAAGTTTATGGACAATGGATTTATTTGGGGATTATTTTTGAAATAATACTTTCCAGCCAGTTTTCAGTATAGCTGCTTAGATTAGTGTTTAGATGCCTTACCCATCTCCATAATGATAATGAATCTGCCTTATGAAGAGTCACCAATTTTTTTGTCTTTCTTAAAACATCCATAAGACATTGAGGCCTAATTTAAAATTCAAACTTACAAAACAGAGACTGTCATATTCTTCCTCATTCTTCAGCTCCCAAAGTCCCTTCCACTCCTTCTTCTGAAATGTTCTGTTACATAGATATTACATTTGCACTCAAGATGTCAGTTCAGTAGTTGTGACTGCCTCTGTGGAGTTTGCAATAATAACCAAAACAAAACAAAAACAAAAGCCTACCACCCCCATCACCACCACCACCAACAACAACAACAAAAGTAAAAGAGAGGATGATGTGAGGAAGGGTAGGAGGAAGATTGAATGGATTTGTGGGGGAGGGGAGTAAGAGAGGAGTAGAGAGAGTAGCAGAGTGGACATGTGAATGTGATCATAGCAGATTGCATTTAAGAAGTGCCACATTATTAAGAATTAAAAATATAAAATGGAAGCCAAACTTAGCAGATTTCCAGAATTCTTTACCCTCTTCATTAATTTCTGGGTTGCTTTTCAAAAGAAGACCATGGTGGTAAGAGGATGGAATTTTGAGAAGGAGGAAGGACAGAAAAATGCATTCTCAGGACTGTCAGGAGCATCATGACTACTGTATCTGATGCCTCTATAATTCCTTCCTGCTTTTATTGCTGCTTGGTCACAGAAAATGAAGACAATGGGGGACTTCTGTGTTAAGGCCTCTGTCAGAGCAGGTAGACCTCTGCTGAGCATCTGTTCTTGGACAGGTGCAATTCTCGGCACTTCCCCTCCCCCACTGCCACATCCTCTCTCTGAGTATGCACCCAGACAAAGATCTTTTGCTTTAATATAGGCTCAAAAAGCTATTACTGCCACTGGAAAGCAGAGTGACTTCATCTGGGGCCTTTAATTCTTTGAGCCTCAGTCTTTTGATCTATGGAATAGAAATATGGAAATAGGTGTTCTTGTGACTTGGGCTTTGGTCTGATCCAAAAGAACTCTAAGTCACATTGCTATAAAAGAAAAACTAGAACTATTCCGATCATTCTCCACCTAATGGGCATGTCTATACATGTTGTAAAATATACGTACATGCAATAAGTGCACATAACTGTGTAAATATACATATATGTATGTGGATGTTTTCTAGAAAGATCTATAATAATTTTACTGGACACTGAAGAATTGCATGTTATGTTTGGCGATACTAAATTTTATTTTCCTTTTTCCAAATCTGTATTCAACTTTAAAAAGAGGAATGAGAGTACCTAGTTACAGAACTAGTTAGAGATCAAATGAGATCAACACAATGGAGCTGTCTTTGGGGCTCATTAGACAGGATTTCCTATTGCTCTATGGTCCTGGGAAGTCTAACATACTCCCTGCTGTACACAAGCTCTTCTGGTCTTTCTACAACTGTGCTGGCTACTTTGTGTTCAGTCTGAATGTAATATGAGAGATAACAAACATAAGCAAATAGGCGATCCTGAGAGTTGGGCTGAATTTTCTGAGTAAATTTCTTGATTCCAAATCACTTTTTTTGTTATTCTTTAACAAAAGATTTTTATTATACTGATATTACTTAACATATAAGAATCATAATTAAGGGTATGCAGCATTTATTCTTGGCAAGCAATAGCTGGAAAGCTTTCTTTCCTGTAGAGCTAATATTAATGGTAATCTACTTAGCTTTCTGTCAGCTCTTTCCATGATGAGAGGTAACTTTTTACAAGTATATACGAGATTTAAACCAGTACACTGAGGACAAAGGTTCACCTAAGGAAAACAGAGATGACTTATGGCAGAATATAGACTCTTGGGGAGGGACTGCTCATCCTGAGCCAGTCAATTTTATCCTCTCTTTATTTCAGTGTTCTACCATAGCCTAAGCCAATTTGCACTGAGTAATTAAGACATCCTTCTGTTTGATTCTTTATTTCTATTATGGTTTTAGACAATGCATTTCATTGTCCATATGGCATTCTTAACACTCTTTATAAAATGTCAATCAATATATTTTAAGTCCTTGTTGCCATCCTTTTATAATTTATTAGAAAAAAACCGTACTATTCTTGGAATTGTTTAATTATGTTACCTCCTTAAATTCCAATTTCATCTCTATCATTTCTACTCAGCACTGCAACATGCGTATAAGCTACTCTCATGACTTGTTGTTATCCTTGCAAAATTTTTCTTTTAAGTTCAAATTAGAAAGACCAGCCAGCCTCATAATAAAAGGCAAGGTTATAGAAGTCAGGAAATAAAGGCATTGGTAAGTGGATACTGTAGCAGAGGTATTTGTAGTAGCCATGAAGATATAGTGTTCAGGTTCTGCCTCCATCCTGAGCCAACCCTTTCATGCTGGAGATGTGGGGGGGGGGCAACTACTAATGGCTGCTCTAGAAAGAGCTCCTTACGCAAGGTCTCATATCTTTCCCTGAGGTGGCTCATACTCGAGTGTTGATTTGTCATCGACTTGCTAGACCAATTCAGCCCGCTTAGTTAGCAACAAGAACAGAGACAAAGTGGGATAGGAAGCTGCCATACTCACCACCCACACAGACACACCCACTGAAGCAAGAGGGATGATGCCACCCCTCCCAGCTGAATCTTCCTCCAGAATGGGCAAGGCAGCAGCAGGGAACCATGAAGAGCCAGTGCTTGCTTCCACTGTGGCCAAGAGGGAGAATGTGAATGAGGTGGCGGGGTGTGTAATGCCACCAAATATTTTTACCACTCAGTATCTTCAGTTTTCCACTGTCCACATCCCACTCCGTGATTCCTTTCTCTGCTCTTAGAAAAAAATATATCCTTTGATTCACTCTGGAATATCTTTCTCTCGGGCTGGAAAGAGAAACAAATTGTGTTATTAAAGATAAACAAAACTGTCTTGTTCATACTTTTCCCTCGCATTGAGCTGACTGTGGACTTAGGCATTTTCTTGTTGCACAAACCAAATTGTCTTTCTACCAATTCTATAGCCTCAAACAGATTCCACTGTGAAGAGCCTTCTCCTACCTGGGCAGACTCAGAGCTCTTGTTCAGCACATCAGCACTGAGGACTCGACCTCATGCTTCCTTAAAATTTAATTACAGTTTTATTCTCCCTTTGTAGCACCATCTACTGCTTGCCTATCTGTTCTAATAATCTTCCTAATCCTCCCGCCACCCATGTAAATGATTCCACTTCTGTCCCCCTACCTCTTCTACAGTGTGTCCTTTGGGAATCAGGGAAAGTGACTTCTAAAAGGATAATAGTCAGTGGTCACAAACATTCTCGGTGGGAGCATTGTCAGTTTTACCTGTTTCTTTGTCATCATCGTCTACCATTGCTTTTAATACTATAACTATTAATATCTTAACTTGAACATGATATAGCAGAGGTATGGCATGCCTGTGGTTTTTCCTACTTGGCATGGATACAGAAGAGACTCAGACTCAGCCAGCTTTCTTTCTGAAGTCTTCATATTATCTAAGAACCAGACCTGCTGTCCCAAAGCCCAAAATAGTCTGTGAATGTTGGGTGGAGGAGAGGGGCTCTGTGAAGCCAGGGTGAGGTAGAGATGCCTCAGCTCTATTTCTTTTGTCTCTTCAGGGAAGCTTCTATGTCCCCTCAGAGAACTGCATACAACATGCACACAAGTGGCATCGGGACCTCTGTCTTCTGCTCCTCCATGCCTATCGGGGCCTCCGACTCTACTTCCTGGTCATCATGAGAGACATTCCTGAGCTGCCCACCATGGAGCTGGGTAAGGGGATGGAAAAAGAAAGTCTCATGCCAGGTGCTGACATTGTATTTGGGAGCACAGATGGATAAAAGGTGGTATCCTTTTACAAAGGTCAGGGTGAAAACATGTTTGGTCCTTCAAGTCTTTCTGGGCTTTACCTCATTGTATTAAGAGAAACTCTTTAGAAGGACAAATGTAGTGAGAAAACATATGAATGCCCCAAGACAGCCACTCATTCATTTATGGATCAAATATTTCTTGAACAGCCACCACACATCCTGTTCAATAATGTTAAGTTGTTTTTGTTAGAAATAATCTTGGTATTATACAAAGGGACATACAAAGCAAAAATATCTCATACAGGTGATTTAAAAACAAAAACAAAAACAAAAAACAGGTTGTTCCAGAACCCAAGCTGGGCTAGCAACATACCAGGACCACCACAGCTCTTGTCTGTCATTGCTGAAATAGGTGATGACTGAACCTCACCTCATTGGTAGAAGCTCAACTACATAATCTAAAGTGATTGTCTAATCAAGTAAAGGGGAAGAAGGGCATGGGAAGGGGAAGATTTTTGAGTCCTTTAGTCCTTTACAGACTACCAACTACCACTGAATAACACACACACACACACACACACACACACACACACACACACACACACTTTCTAACATTTTCTAGAATAATATTCAAGGTTAAAGCCTTTTTTAATTAAGATGCAATTATAGAATTGCAATTTATAAACATGTATAACAGCCTTACAAAAGAGAGTTACAGCTATAGAAAACAATCATGTGCACATGTATATTAACACACATATGGCCATTCATATCCATTATATTTGTGTTTATCTAACTATCCCCTGGTCTATCCTGTGAAGGGTTCTGGAAACCTGCAGTGGCATGCTGTATTTTGGTTATGGTGACAAAGAGACTGTTTTTCCAAAATGAACATCATGGAGATGAGTGAGCCTCAAATCCCTCTAGAGTGATAAATAAGAGAAGTCAAACACAGGAAGGAATACGACTACTGAAAGTCATACAGCACAGCTATATGTAGCTGTGCCAGAAGCCCTGAGATCTTGCTCTGGCTGCCTGTGGTAGGGTGCTTCAGTCCTGTCCCCCTCCTTTACAAAGGTTCTGCTCAAAGTCCTTTGGATCAGAGGCTCAACCCAGAGCCTAGGATTCAAGGACAATGCACATTTCAATGTCAGAATTCCACTGAGTGCTTACTTCTTTGTCTCTTCCTCTGGATACCAACTTCTGTGAGAACCATATCATTTGGTAGTGTCTGTGGCCTGTGTATTAAAAGTTGATTGCATGACAATGATATATTTGCAAGTTTCTTTTTACCATCAGATTGTGGGGTTGGTGAGAGCTGGGTCCCGCTCAGATTCCTTAGGCTCTGTCTCTAGTCTCCAGAGCAAAGGGGTATTTGTGGTCCTTACATTGGATTTCAGAGCCTCTTGTCATCTCTTTTCATCTGTCATGATACATGGCCAAGCCAGTGCCTGGGTCGTTGAATATGCACTCTTTGACTTGGATGTTTTCAGAAGCCGATCTTACAAAGGCTATCACCAACTACCAACTACACAGAGGACTCAGGCTGTGACTCTTTAGTAGAGCACTCACTTTGCATATGTTAAACCTTAGGTTTTACCTCAGCTCCACAAAAGCCAAGCAAAAAGTTAGTACAGAATCAGAGCTAGTTACGTAACTCAAAAGAAAGTGGACTTTATTCAGAGGCAATTAGCAATAGAAACTTTTGTTACCTAAGAGAACCAAGGTTCTTTATTCACTCAAATATTCTTCAACATATTTTTGTTGAGCATCTTCTGTCCACTGGGCATTGTGCTGGACACTTAGGATACAGTCCTGTTCAAGAGGAACAAAGTCTACTGTACTGTTGGGTCGTGGACCTGACAAATGGGTAGGTCAGCAGGGCACAGAGGTACTAAGGAATTTCTTGTGTTGTCCTAGACAGTACAACAGCAGGCAAATGATTCCTTGGCATTAGGGGGCTAGGAGAGGGTTCAAACACTTTCAAAACTCTGACCATTAAATCACAAAAAGTTGGCAGCCACTGGTTCAGGCAAACAAGCTGACACATAGCAGGCTGCACTGTGGGTGGCTTGGATGGTTATGATGCTCATTAGCGGTGTGGTCCCTGGAGCATAAAGTCTACTCAGATCTGCCTGCCACTCCACTTCCTTGAGCTTCTGACTTTTCAGCTCCAAGATGGAGAACAAATTCATATTCTCTATTACAAAATATACATTTGTGGGAGTTTCTCTCTCTCCCTCCCTCTCCTTTCCTCCCTCTCTCCCTCCCTCCC